TTTACCTTATTTTTTTATGATTTCGTCACTAAAATCAAAAGTTTTTAAAAATGTATGCTACATAAAAATTTTCATAACTAAATAGATTTGAATATTTTCATCTAATTACCCTAATAATAACCCTACTACTATGAAAACGTTGGCAATCGTATGAGAACTTTTGTAAAAATCATAAGATGATAAAATATAGAAACTACAGAGCGTGATAAAATTCACGATTAATAATTTATATTAAGCGTTGCCACCTATTTAATGTTTGTATTTCAGTAAAAGTAATAATTTAGCACCATAAAGTATAATTTGAAGAGCTTATGAAAATTCATGATTAATATTTTATTTTGAGCGTTGCCACATGTTTAATAATTTTAGTTCAATAGAAGTAATTATTTAGCATCATACGGTATAATTTGGCTGTGAAAATAACAAAGTTTCAAAAAGGCTAACTCTAGCAAATAATTTTTAAAGAAGTGTTGCCACCTGTTTATTTTTTGAATTAAGTTAAATTGATAAAGTAACATATACTATAACTATTCCTCAAATTGACCGAATTATTGTGACAGAAATTATTGAGAAGTGTTGCCACCTAATTCGAAAATTAAGCTAAATAATATAAAGACATGGATCAATAGATGAATAGTGGCAACAAATGAATAGTGTTTGAAAAATATTTGAGGTACATATAAATATGCTACCAATAGGGTCTGCAGTTTACGAAAAAACTACCAGCTAGCACAGTTTGCTTTGAATGTGAACTGAAATAAATTTGAATTTAATATAATATATCTGAAAAGCCTCAGCTTTATAATCTTTGTTTTTAATGGTTTATATTCATCGGGTTACTAAATAATTTCGTTTTTTTTAGCGCAATTTCAAAACGATTTTTTGTAAAACATTCTATGAAATAACGTATTCATCATTTTGATCCAACACCTGTTACCATCTTTCGGGTAAGAGATTGATTCCATGCTCACAACCTTTTTGTCCTTTGTAGGCAAAAAACTGTTGCAAGTGGTTTTTGACGTCCTGATTTGAGGTGAATTTTATCCCATCTTAAGAATTTGCAAGTCTGGCGCACATGGTTGGTGTGATAGCACATTCCATTCAAGCTGTAAGAGGTTTTAGGGAGTCATCAACCTTGTATTGAGGCCACATACAGGCATCAGGCGGTACACTGCATCTCTTCTATTAATCAATTCTGGCCTTTTCTGTTGGAGTGCATTACTCAATAGCCCAGCTGAACGCAATACACTTCACAAATTATCGTAATATTGTCGGTCAAAAACTCAAAATAAACGGCCCTTTGGAAATTCCATCAAACAGACAACATAACGTTTTTTTTTGGTGTCTATCGGCTTTCGAAGTGGTTTGAGCTGGTTCGCCCTTCTTAGACCATGATCTCTTGCGCTTTACATTCTTGTAAAAAACCAACTTTTTCTTGCCAGTAGCAATACACTTCAAAAATGAATCACTTCTTTGACGTGTGATAAGCAAATCACAGTCGTTAAACATAAATTTTTGTTCTGTAAGAATATGAGGCAATATGAAGTTCTTCATATTCTTCGAAATTTTTAATAGTAAATACATATGTCGAAACTGCTATTATACATCTTCGATAGGGCACCAAACAAAAACTATTCTAAAAAATTTTGGAACATCTTTTACAAACAAGCCACACTGTAACGGATGTTCAAATATACAACTAGAAAGCGGTAAAGTGTGAAGTGTGAAAAAGGACGATCCAAAAAAAAAAAAAAAATTAAGTAGTTGATACTGGGATCCAAATTTCACCTTTACCATTAAGAGATACAACTTAGATCAAGTTTAAAGTGAAAATAATGAGTTCTCTAAGTAGAAATTTCAATATGTCAATGTAAAATGTACTAATGCATGTATCCTAAATGGAAGATCCTAAATCTCAATTCCTAAATAAGTTTATGTGCACAAAGTGGTGATATAGAAGTCGTACTGAAATGTAAGAATGTACGAAACAATGTTTGAAAACTAAACCGTTTTAGACAGAACATTTTTTTTTTTGCTATAAATGATAACATAATGCTTAGTGAAGTCTTAAAATTAGATCGCAGTAACGAACTTAGCTGTGTTACATTGAAATTATCCGAAGGGTGAAAGGAGTTACGCGAAACTATTCAAAATTCTTGCGCAAACGTTTAAACACTATCTAATGTGCCGTAGATTGTTCGAGGATTTATGGTTCAAAGGCAGAATTAACTGCGGTAAACTCTTCCAAAAATCTTCAATTGGAAAGAATTTTATGGACGAGGAAACTCCAAGCCTTAATACAATCGGATAGAAAAAGTTTACAAAGCCTTGAAAACCCGCTGATTGAATGATTTTTTCTTAAAAAAATTCCTTTATGCCAAAATTAAGAAAAAGTCTAATTTCTTTAAAAAGAAAACTCTAGTTCGAATAATTTTTGGTTGAGTCTATCAAATATAAAACTTTAGCAACAAATATTCTTTTACACAATTATGCTGAAAGCATTTTAATTTATGAACAATTCGAATATGAGTCTGCTAAAAAAGTACAATGAAGAATTTTTAAAAATAATTCGAAATTTATTGCTGTCCAAAGACACACAAGCGCGCGGTTTCTTAATGCGTCTTGCGGCCAAGACTATGAATTTCGGTGGAAAGTCTATGCAGCTATAGCCATATATACATATAATTAATAAACAAAATGTTGGAAAAAAAAAGATCACCAAAAACATGCGTTATATGTTTTGATTATATTTTGGGACAAGCAAAGCCATAAAAAAGGTAGCAAAACAAAATACGGGCATAAAACAAAAACACAAGCAAATACATAAAACATTTACGAGACTGGGCTGGGGTGTATGGGCTGACATAGCTATGCATACATACATAGATAAAAGGGAATAAATGCATGTGGCATATGCAACACTATTCTTGCAACAACAAGGAACGTTTACTTTTTAAAAAAACGCATTTTTTTCCGTTTCGAAAACACTCAACCACTCACTTACATACATATGTACAAATACTTATACACGTTATTTTTATGCATTTTGTGGTGAATTTCGCGCATCTTCCAAATATCTCAAGTTGCAACGGTCGAGTATCTGTTGCAACTGCAACACTTTATGCCGGTCTAGAATATATAGCCAGAGCAGCTGTTGGCCATTTTTAATTAGAGACAACATCGCTTGATGCGCCTCTAATTGTTTTGGACTGATTGATGCTCGAGCGAATATAGAGTAGCAAGTACATACGCACGCAGGCTATTTGCCAAGCGATGGCGATTTCTGGTTGCGTGTTTGTGTAGGAAATTTCCAGAAATCACTTGCACATTTTGTGAAAAATTTGTGGATTCGTGAATTATGCTTGAGAGATTTATGGTTACAAGTAATAGGCAAATAAATTACGAAAATGCAAATATTTTTAGAAAAAACCAAAATTGTTTAATGGTAGAAGCTGAAGAAGCAAGAAATTGTAGACACTTCTTACGCGGTTACAGCCGCTTAGGGTATATAAGTGGGTGTGGTGATTTTGTTTTAAATAATTTATGAAGTTTGCCGGAAATATAAATTAATACTAAAATTTCCAAATACTCCCAGTACGGGAAATGCTAATGTCTGGCTGCAAGGAAACGTTAATTATGCTGTATTATTATTATAGTATTTCTTACAAAACCACATTTATTTTTTAAACCGTAAATTTTTAAATATTACTATTAAATATACCAAACAAATTTTAAAGAACTATTAGGATTTTGTCATAATAGCTAAAAGGGGAAATTTGGCAACAGCGCTAATGCAGCACAGTCATAAAATTTCAACTATATATCTGATTTGGAAGCCGGTCAGCACAAGTAGTCCTACATATATTTTTAACTAAGTTCTTATAGGATATATGAGGTTATGAGATTATTTTATGTTTTAAATAATTTATGAAGTTTGTCTGAAAACGTAAATTTATAATAAATTTACCAAATACTTTTAGTACCCGAAATGTTAGTGTCTGGCTCCAAGGAAATGTCAGTGATACTGTGTTATTATTATATTACTTTTTGCAAGACCACATTTATTTTTCAACCCATAAATTTTTAAATAACTATTGTATTATGATTTTATGATAATAGCTAAAAGAGAAAAATTGGCGACAGCGCAAATGAGGCAAAAGCATAAAATTTCAGATGTTACTTCGAACTTGACCAAGACAAATCGTCTAATATTTACCGTTAACTGAGCACATATTTTTTGTAAATTTTGATAAAAAAAAAAAGTGAGCAAAATATATAAAGCATACTTAAGCTACACTTCACATAAGTGCATACTAAAGCATACAGTAAAACAAATAACGCTCTTTATAACTCAGTCTTTGCACAGTCCTACATTCTACAGCTCAAAACGCACTGTTTCTAAATACCTTCTCTCTTACAAGCTGCTCTGTCAAAATATTAAAGTCTTTCTTCATTAATTTCAGCTGCTAGAGAAGCGAATTGACAAGTTTACCGAGACCACCTCGGAACAGTTGTTGATAACGAATCCCGAGAGTCAAACATATGTGCGCGAAGAACTACAAAAACTCAACGACAAATGGCGGCACTTTAAAGACCAAGTGAAAAGCAAGCGCAAATCGCTCGATCAGGCAACGGAGTTCTTCGAAAAAGTGGAGAAAGTAAGTTGTTTCCAACAAACTAAAAACTAAAAATTGAATGTTATTTACATGTATATTTCAACAGATCGATGCCGAATACCGAGAAATCAGCTACTTCTACAACAGCGTCTCTAATAAGATCACATATTTACGCGATCCTGTCGAGGCATCGAATCTAGTCAATGATATTGAAAAGTACGTAGTGACACGCGAAGGTCCGTTGCTTGATAAACTCGAACAAGCGGCACAATGCGTACACGATTTGAATAAAGTTTCGACGCTGTACAATGATGTACGCGGTATATTCCAGGCATTTATGAAACTACGCTCTGATATTAGTGTGGTACAGGAGCGCCTCAAGAATGAGGAACGCATGCGTGAACAACGTGAAAAAGAAGCGCGCGAGCAGGAAGAGCGAGAACGCGCTGCACGCGAGGCCGAAGCTAAAGAGCGCGCTGCGCGTGAATTAGCTGAACGTGAACGCGTAGCACGAGAATTAGCTGCACGTGAGCAAGCGCTGCGTGAAGAAGAAGCGCGATTGCTAGCCATACGCGAGCAGGCGGCCCGTGAACAAGCCGCGCGTGAGCAAGCAGCACGCGAGGAAGAAGCGCGATTGCAAGCGCTGCGCGAACAAGCACAACGCGATGAAGAAGCGCGTCTGCAGGCGCTACGTGAGCAGGCTAGACGTGAGGAAGAGGCAAGACTAGAAGCATTACGTCAGGAAGAGGCGCGCTTACAAGTGCTGCGCGAGCAAACAAAGCGCGAAGAAGAAGCGCGACTCCAAGCACTACGCGAGCAAGCTGCGCGTGAAGAAGAAGCGCGCTTGCAGGCGCTACGTGAGCAGGCTAGACGCGAGGAGGAGGCGCGACTGGAGACTTTGCGTAAAGAAGAGGCGCGTTTGCAAGCGTTGCGCGAACAAACGATGCGCGAAGAAGAAGCGCGTATGCAAGCGTTACGTGAACAAGCTGCGCGCGAAGAAGAAGCGCGCCTCCAGGCTTTGCGCGAGCAAGCGCGACGTGAAGAAGAAAACCGTTTGTTGACGCTACGTGAACAAGCCACACGTGAAGAGGAGGCGCGCTTGCAAGCGCTACGCGAACAAACGAAACGCGACGAGTTTGCGCGCTTGCAAAGTGTACGTGATCAAATCGATCATCAGCGCATCGTAACGGAAAATATACGTAAGGACATACAAGTAAATGAAATCTTCACGGAAATCAAATATGCATCGCCACGCTTCAACCGTCAACTGAAAGATGCAATCACACGTGAAGGTGACAAATTCACCTTCGAATGTGAGGTGGTCGGTAACCCTGAACCAGCCGTTGAGTGGTTCAAAGATGGCATATCCATACAGAATAATCCCGATTACAAAACCACATACGAACGCGGTATTTGTCGTTTGGTGATCGAAGAGACTTTTACTGCGGACTCGGCGCGTTTCAGTTGTCGCGCCTCGAACTTGGTGGGTAGCAATGAGACTAGCGCCAATTTGTCGGTGCGCGAAAATGCTATCGAAATGCAAATGGTGCCACCTAGAATTGTACGCTTCCTGCAGAGTGGCAAGGCAACAGAGGGCAGCACTTTTGAATTTTTATGCGTCGTCAGTGGCAATCCTCTACCCACGGTGCAATGGTATAAAAACGATAAATGTATTGATGATTCACCGGATTACGTAATCAATTACAATAATGGTGAGGCCACGCTGCGCTTCGAAGAGGTTTTCTTGGAAGATGACGCTGTGTACACATGCAGTGCATCAAATCCAGCCGGCATTGAACACTGTTCGGCGAGTTTAATTGTGGAACGTAAGTAAAAGACATAAATATATTAATAATTTATTCCTGGAGTATGTAAACCTAACAATTGTATATCAACACTGTTCGGCTATAGGCGATCTCTATAGGGGCCCTTTTGATAACCCAGCTGGTTGACAGATTCTTTCTATAGGTACTAGTGACAAAGACCACTTAAAGTTAAGAATTGATTTCCTTTTGATCATATTTAGGAATATTTAAAAATAATTAAAGAGTTTCGATGCTTTCAGATCTCGTTACAATAAAATTTAACTTTCAAAAGGTCAAGCCTCAACCCACCTCACACCTAATAAATTATTCCATAGGTTAAAAAACAACAATATTATGTTAAATCTGTCCTCGATTAATTTCTCAAAGTTCCCCCACAAAAACTAAAAGTTTTTATAAGGATTTTTGTGAGATCTTGTGTACATTCGATGCCGTACCCTATTTGTGGTGAAAGTATTTTTTACGCTAAAATGTAGGCAACATTTTTTTTAATTCTCTAAATAACTTTTATGAATTTCCATAAGTGGCTAATCGAGGGGCTCAGAAATTATCTTCTATTTTTATATCTATTTTTTATATTCTATTTTTGAGAAAAAAATATGCATTTCGGCCACAAAAACTATACAAATAATTTCTGTGTGAGATATTATGTACATTCGATGCTGTATTGCTTTGCGTTCAAATGTAGGCAACATTTTTTTTTGTTAATTTCCCAAAAACTTTTGAATTTTCTCATCCATAAAAAATATTTTTTAATAATATTTTAAATTTGATTTCAGCTCTCGAACCAACAGAAGTACCACACTTCAAAATCCCGCTCTCCAATGCCATGGCGCGAGTTGGACAAAAAATTAAGCTTGAAGCTCTAATCGGTGGTATACCAAGACCGGATATTTTCTGGATGCACAATGGCAAGCCTTATGTACCGCGAGATAGCAAAGTGAGTATACTAAACGTATTCAAATTAAAGGCATAAGTTTTTTACCCTGGACAGGCTTCGCTATTTTAGCCCTGTTTACAAATCACGATGATTGATAGTCGACTCGGAAAGCCTAGGGCGCGAAGTCTTGAAAAAGTAACTACAATTTGTTTGTGTAATATGAAACTGTTAGGGATGCTGTAGCCAGGAAATATATGTGGAATAAAAAGTGGGTTATGTTTCTAGAAAGTGAAACTAACTGAAGTAAAGATTTAGTGGCAGTGCCTTCAACGTGTTATTGAGGGCTTTGATCTTGACACTGCTTTTTTGTCTCGAAATAGTGATTTAGTGAATTCACTGTGATTAGAAAAAAATCATAATCTACAAGAAGCAACAAGAAGCAATATTGAAATAGTAATAATATCCTGTCAGGAGAGGCGTTTTCAAAGTGATTTTAATTTCATGGGCTAAGGACTAGCTTGTTTGGGATAATGCCAGAGATAAACTCTGACTTTGATGCAACTGAAGCGATATGTTCGTACAAGGGTGTAAAATAAATTAAAAAAATATATATAAAATTTTCTCTTAAATTGTGATGTGGTATTAAGCCATATATAATAATTTAAGCAATAAAAAAATCGGCTCCAGTTGAGTAAATACAAAAAAACCGTTCTTCATACTGATCTCGAACCGAACTATATAGTACCATACTATCGATGCTTTGTACACACAAGCGTGTCACACTCACGAACTTATGCCGAACTGCCCCCCACAAAGACTAACTGTATCCACTACCGCCGATTATTCCAAATAATCGTGCTATATATAGCTCACTGTGTATAAAAGCCATTGGACCACTTTAATGCAATAAAAAATTTAGCTAATTGCATTAATATGTTTTTGGGGGCACTATGGCATTAGCGTGGGCAGTTGGCGAAATGGCGAGCAGGCGGTACGATATTACTTAGAAGATTGCCAAAAATAAACCCCGTGAAGATAGTGTGTGGCAATATGACCGAGTGTGTCTATAGCTGTTGTAGCCTGAATGAGTTTCGACGTAGCCGCGGACGATAAAGTGTCTTAATATTCATATTTATTGAAATTGTGTGCAATTTATAGCAGCGAAAGTGCAACGTTGGCGCATTGCAGACATGTTGTGTTATGACAATTTCTGTGGCGGTGGCGATGGCGGCGATTGTTGAGCGGGTCAAGGCGAGCTGAAAGTTTGCTTTGAGTTATTTTAGCAATATTATTAATGACTTAAAAACGCGCATTGTGCTTAAAACGGAAATTGTTGACAGCACACAAATACATACTTATGTATACACTTGCGAATGGTTAGTGGGCGTTCTTGTTGACAGTTTTTAAGTAAATTGATTATTATTATAATTATTTAAGGCAAACACGCTTTTCAATGAAGCATTTAAAAAATATTAGAATAATTAATTAGGGGAAGAAATATTGCTTGTATTCGGTGCCAGCAGAAGTATTTAACAAATTTGTAGCAAATAAATATTAGGGTGAACCAAAATATGTTGAAAAAAATTATACTTATTATTGGAGGACGGAGATGCATTATTTAATTTTATAATTACAAAATAACTCAACAAATTTTATGTAATTTGAAAAAATAATGCTAAACTAAACAAAAATAAAAATATTTTAGGGGTTACGTGGGTTTCCCCGGGTAACAACAGCATTTTTCAACAATTTTTTCTCATATAAAAATTAAGTATTTTATTATAATCTTTTACTGTTCCAAACATAAACTATTAAACAGAAAAATCCTGAAATTTTTTGCAAAAAAACTCGGTCATTGCGACACCATTTCCGGTGATTAAGTAAAAAAATATGTCCTTTAGTTAAAATCTTAGAACTTGAACTAAGAAAAACACTGACAATTGGGTTTTTGGGAGACATTTTTCCAAAAAAATTAAAATTTCAGTGAAAATTTCGCCGCATTTTTTTTTCCAATAGTTGTCATCGAAAACAATTCTTCGTCCAAGTCTTTAAGAATCTTATCTCAAAGATCTGTGTAAAAGTTCACGAAGATCGGTTGAGTAGCTCTAGACACAGACACAGTTTCGAGAAACGCGTTTAAAGACGACACACTTAGCCTAGCTAGCCTCGAACGCTCCAGTTCTCTAGACTTATCTCCGAAATTATTACACGGATCAACTTGAAAATTCAGGAGAATATTCTTGTGGTTTTGTGAAATTTAAAAATTGTGACGCTTAAAAAGTAATAACGGTTCTGAAAACGCTCAGCTTGCAGTAGGATTCCATACCTATACGTAAAACAGTATTGCACATAAAACTTTGCGTTGGAAATGACTAATTTTCTAACTTATAAAGAAGATGCGTCAGGCGAACTACATATTTCACTACTACTACTGTCAGCACCTTCATATTTTGTATTGAAAAACAAGAAAAAGCGTTAACTTCGGCTGCACCGAAGCTAATATACACTTCACAGGTGCATTTCTTAAGTAACTATATGTTCAGTTTATATGGAAGCTATATGCTATAGTAATCCAATCTGAGGAATTTTTTCGGTGTAATCCATGTCGAATTTCGTGAAAATACCACGCCAAATGTGAAAGTTATCCATACAAGTCCTTGATTGCGATCGTTCGGTTTGTATGACACCTATATGCTATAGTAAGTCCATCTGAAAAATTTCTTCGAAGATTGCATTGTTGTCTTAGAAAATAATCTATACCAAATTTCGTGAATATATTTTGTCAAGTGCAAAAGTTTTATTTACAAGAACTTTTTTCCGATCGTTCAGTTTGTAGGACACCTATATGCCATAGTAAGCCGATATGAACAATTTCTTCGGAGATTACATTGCTGCCTTAGAAAATAACCTGTGCCAACTTTTGTGAAGATACATTGTCAAATGTAAAACTTTTCTAGACAGGAACTTGATTCCGACCGTTCAGTTTGTATATCAACTATATGCTATAGTGGTCCGATATCGGCAGTTCCGAAAAATGAGCAGCTTCTTGAAGAGAAAATTTTGTTTGCAAAATTTCAAAACGATATCTTAAAAACTGAGGGACTCGTTCGTATATATACAGGCAGACGGACATGAATAAATCGACTCAGCTCAACATACTGATCATTTATATATATTCTTTATAGGGTCTCCGACACTTTCTTCTGGATGTTACAAACTTCGTGATAAACTTAATATACCCTGTTCAGGAGTATTTCCGTGGAGTTTAGTCTTTCATAGACAGGTATTCACGTTAAAACACATTGGCTCTCTGTCCCTGTTCAGGGTATAAAAAAAAAATAAATAAAAACTTATTTAGGCGAAGGCCGCAGTATAAAGTATAATCCTAATGTTAACTTAATTCATAGTATTTAGCATATACTATATATATAGATTTACAAATTTACATACTTTTCTCTCGGCATTGCGACTGTTTAGCGGCAATTTGTCAGTCGAAAAATATCAGAATTAAATTTTTACAGCTAAATCTCGCAGGCTGCATAAATAAATTGTGGGTTTAGTCGAAAGCAATTTGACTTTTGGCACAAAAAATTAGCTGCCTTTATAAAATTGAGTGAAGAAAGATATTACGAGGCGCTTGTATGCAGAAAAATATCAAAATATTTTTTGAGAATATGCATATAGAACTAAAGGAATAAAACGATGAAAGAGTATAACTAAATCAAAAAATATTAAATGAATGAGATAAAAATTGAACTTACCCAAGATTTTTTGTGGTTGTTAAGTTTCGCATATTTAAAAAGATAAACACTATCACACATATATATGGAATTAGAAAAATTACGGCTTTCATGAACTTTTACTTGAACTATTACAAATTCCGTTCACTTGAAGATTCTGATATCAAAATCACCAGTTATCCTGAAATAAGAAGATATAATAGTTTATAAGACATAAGGCCAGACTATTTTAAACAATGTTTATTATATTGTAAGCATAAAACAAATATAGTCTTATTCAAAAAATATTTTTATAAAGGTCAGTTTTAGCATCGAGTTCAAATACTATAGGTACTAAACGCAGTTAAAGAAGGATATAGGGATGTGCACAAATATAACGAATAAGTCTTTTAAATGTTGGTTGTGGCTACTTCTCAAAAGATCCCTCCGTCGAGTCCAATTTTCAATGAGTCGTTCGAGCATTTCGACTGGTAACTGACGAATTATACACGTGATTTTTTGCTCCAAGGACTGAATCGAAGCGCAATTGTCAGAATTTACATACCAAAAACTTTAAATTATTTGCTCCCCGAAATGATTTCTCAAGAAATCAAATGATTGATGCGATGTGAGGGAAGCAGCGCCATCTAATTGAAATCAAATGTCGTAGAGATCACAAGCTTCAATTTCTGGTATCAAATGAAATGGCAGTTCTTGAATCTGTTCATGCTGCTCTTTGTTCTAAATGTACTTGTTTACATACCCATTGAGCAGGCTTTATTGCTGAACAAAATTTGACTCGCAATCCTCTTGGAACTTTGCAAGACTATGTTGACCAGAAGTTGAGCAAAGTGCGCGAAAAATATTCTTTACAGATTATGAATTTTCGCAATAAAGTTGAAGGATTTGTAAACGTTGTTCAGACGAGAAAATGCCAATTAATATTGAACAAAACTAGCATGGCAGCTTGACACGACTTACATGAAATCTGTCAAATAAAAGCTACTTGGATCACCCGTTACCAAGGATGTACAAATCATCATAAGGAACATATGTATAATTTTATATTTTTTTAAATTCATTTAATTATTTTTATGCTTGTTTATTCCTTCCGAAAGAAGGGTTGCTAAGCAAGCCCTGAGCTCGCTGACAGTGAGCCTATGAACTTGCTTGAAAATATGTCCCTACTACCCTTACCCGAATTCCATCAAGATGGGAAGAAGGGCTCCCTAATCAACGTTCTTTCGGGCCTCGCGCGAGCTCAGCCAGTAGAACAGCGTAAATTTGCGATTTTGATATCAAAATAGTATTATCTTTACTATTATATTTCTCTTTTGTTTATACTAGTATACTAGATTTATACCAGTCGTGTGTTCAATTCGCCACTGTACAACATTTGACAGCCAGTGCAAGTGTGCATTCATTTGTTTTTCTTATTCACTTTCGCTGCAAAATGTTCGCTAAATGATTCTGTGATTAAAAGATTTTATTTCTCGAATAACATTTAGCCACACATACAGATATATACATACAGATATATGTAGTATGTAAACGTATATTATTTTTGCATATTTTGCAAACTCAAAATAAKATATTTTTTGTATACTTAGTACATTTAGATATTCATTTCTCCTATAGTAGCCACAAAAAGAATCAAGATAAATATGCAATATCCACCACATGTGCTTGAAATACGTACATACGAATGTCTATTTGCTTCCCATTCCGAACAAGTGAATATAAATTCTTTGATATTTAAGTTATATATTTATCTCTGATATAATCATATACTTAAATGGGGACTCAATGAAATGTTATTGAAAAAAATAAAAAAAATAAATGAAAATCATAAACATTTCATTTTCCCTAATGGGTCTAAATAAATGAAAAAGTAATCGTGCCATGATGTATACACTCGCACTTTCATAACCCACAGGTTTGTTTACATTTAAACGTTCTAAACATAGCCTCCAGTAAACAAATTTCTAATGATGTTCATGAACAGCAGACAGGCCAGTATTTTTACAAATCCACTACATTTACAGTGGGCAAAATTAGTAAAACTTTGTTCATAATTTTTAAATTCTTCAGAATTAAATTTATTCTTCAAAATATATATCGTCCTCTTAAAGTAATCCTCCTTGGCACCAATACAATTGTGCCCACGTCGTTTCAATACGCGAAACAGTCAATTAATTAAAGTCAATTTCCGAAATACGCGTAGCTAATCAAGTTTAATGTCTTCATTAGACTCAAAATGATTTACCTCGGAGCGAACTCACGAAGAATTAATTCAGTAGGCGACGGTGTATTATCGTGATGCAATAACCAAGAGTTATCGGCCTATATTTCCGGCCTTTTCCTATAATAGCTTTGCGCAAACAACGCATAATAGTATTCCATGTTGATAGCTTGGTCTGTCTGAAGGAATTAGAATGTGCACCACACATCGATAATCAAAGAAAACAAGATTGAAACAAAACAAAAGTTATTACTATTTTTGGCCCACGGTACATATTTCTTAATGTATACTACTACACATATGGAAAGGAAATTAGTGTGAGGTTGGGTGTGCAGAATTATGATAATAAAAAATAAGACGTGAAAATAATGATATTTGGAGGTTATTGCTCTCTCAGGAACGTTGGCTTTTTGAAACAAATTCTTTCAATACAAAATCATTTCCCAAAAATTGGTAAAATGAAAAGATCCTTTCATTGATCTTGGTTTTTGAAGAATCTGGGTCTCGGACAAATATATCCACTTGAAGAAGTTGGTTTTGATCGTTGATAGCCTTGGATAATATACCATACTAAATTTTGTTAAAAAGTATTATTATTATTTTTTTTAGCAGCTATATAGAGCAGATCTTAGCAGATGTAAAAGATTTTCCTAAAGACTTTTCCCCCAATGGAATTTGGTTCAGAAGCAGAATAGGAAGTAAAGTTGACAGAAGTCATTCTAGACTTTGGCACCTCAGAGCTTCACAAAAATCTTGATTTTTCAGCAGAATTAATAAAGTTTTAAATTCGTAGTTCAGAAAAAGCATAACAGCCAAAGGTGATAAAACCGGCATGACAGGGATTGATAACTGGAAATACTTGGAAAATTTTAATTTTTGCAAATTTTTTCAATTGCAAGAGTATTGAAGAAATAATTTTTTTCGATTAAATTACAAAACCAGCGAATAAGTATAAACGATCGATTGCTGAGGGGATGTGCGTAAAAGGTACACGATTTGAGGTTGGTTTTGTATTCAGATTATAATAAAACGGCGAAAGTTTTCATAAAACCCTAATAATCTCTAGGATCTGTTTAAGAATTAAGTAGAAAATTTATATATCAATATAAAGGTTTTCATTTTTTTCTCTTAATTTTTTTTTTAAATTTTTTTGTTTACAAATGTTAAGAGTACACAAAATTAGTTTAAAAAAAAAAAAAAAAAAATTGTCATGAAAGTAGAGCGGACACAAGATTGTGTCCTTATTATCATGATTTCTACCCTTATGGTCATCCGAGTAATAAAACATTGATGAATACTTTATGTGTCCTGAAGCTGTAAAACTGAAAAAAAAAAAAAATTAAAAAATGACGTCTTTTCAAAAATTAATTTTGTTTTTCTTTAGTTTTTTAACATAGTAACACTTTTTTTAAATATAATTTTTTTTTAATTTGCGTTGCTTCTTCTTGCGATAGAAAGATATTTAGAGAATATTCATTTTTAGTTTTACTGCCTTCTCCGTAGATGGAAAAAATTCTCTCCTAAAATATATTGTCGATACAATGACTTACAGCGGTCAATGCGTTTTACTTCAGTACCTGCTGTTGACATCCTAACCTTACGGTGCTAAAAAGCACATAGATCAAAACAATGCGTCGATCAGCGACCCAAAAAATATATGCGGGTAGGACAGAACACCTTTTTACTTTGGTCGGGTTTGAGGTCGACCTAAAATTTCTGCCGTGCTGTGGGTCCGGCATACAGTCGCAATGCGACTCCACACTGAACTGAGTTTTCAATTCCACCTGTCTTTAGGTTTAAGTCACGACCACCACGAATCTCCCCAAAGGACCAAAGCCAATAAGCGGATTGAAGCGAATACCAAAGATTAACTGCTCGCCGTGGTACCAGATTTAAGTCTCGGCCAGACATTGTCGCTTTTGCAACTAATAGTTGAGCACCTAAAAAAGAGTTTTTTTTTTTTTTAATTTCAAACTAAGTCTGCCCCTCAAACGGCAAATTTTTTTATTTTAGAAGAAGCTAAAAGATATTATTTATGGGGAATTTTTTAGTCTCAGCAAAAACTCCTTATTCTGTTGATTACTTGTAGTTACGACTTTCTAATCATTGCAAACACACAAGGCGCACAAAAATATTTCAAACAAAGTTCACATATATCAATGTCAAATGAAACAACAGATTCATGCCATATTTTTCCGCCCACACACCCAACGCCCAGTCTACTCAATAAAATGTGAGTGTATAAAAAATGGCAGCCCGTTTAGTTCGCCGGATGCAACCTCTGCTCAATCAAAACATAAAGTCGAAAATTGTGTAAATAAAATTTTAATTGCACAAAACAGGGGAACAAGCAAAAATAAATTAAAATACCACTAACAGTAAATGAATACAAATTTTTCTACACAACTCACCATACAGCCAAGAGCACACACACACGCGCACGAGGTGGCAAGTATTTTGTGAAATATTCACCATAGCACAGCGAGTTTTCGACTTTCATTTGCCACATTATTTTCAAATGAACATGTGCTTACATATTTACACAGACACACACACACATACATTCCCAGAAAATATATTTGTATTTACACACTAGCGATTGTTCACTAATGGTTTTCAATATTTTCGCAACGTTTTTCATTTCAGTACGAGTACGGCCGCGCAACGCTCATAATCCCCCAAGCTTATCCCAACGACGCCGGAGTGTATGTGTTAACAGCGAAAAATCTAGCAGGCGAAGCATATAGTTCGTGTAACGTCGTCGTCAAAGGACGCCTACCGAACGAGACATCCGACTCAGAGTTAGCCTCCGATATGGAACCGATTAAGCCCTCGGTACAATTGCCACTCAAAGATGTGTCAATATTCGAGGGTAAACCAGTGCGTTTGGATTGTGTGATTGTCGGTCAACCGGAACCCGAAGTCATTTGGTATCACAATGAGCGACCAGTCAAAGAATCAGCCGATGTGCAGTTGCTGTTCCAAGGTGACCGCTGCTCGTTGATCATACAAGAAGTGTATCAAGAGGATGCGGGCAACTATAAAGTGGTGGCCATCAATTCGGCTGGTGAAGCCGCGAGCAGTTGTGAGCTCAAAGTGACGCCACTAAATATTGCCGAACCTGCGACACGCGCACAAACCGAGCGTCAGTCTGTGCCGAAGGAGACACTGCCGAAATTCGATAAGTTCCTAACCGATGTGCTGGCGGACGAAGGCGAAACCGTCGAGATGGAGGTGAGCGTTAGTGGTGATCAACCACTCACCGCCAAATGGTATCTGGCCAATAAGGAGTTGAGCGAAAGTGAACGGCTTTCGATGAGTTCTAATCCGGCGGTCGGTGCCTTCAAATTAATCTTAAAAAATGTAGTTTCTGACGATCGCGGCGTGTATACGGTGAAAGTGTCGAATAATGCGGGCGATGCGAAGTGCTTCTCGCAATTGAATGTGAAGAGCGTGAATGCGCCTGAAAATCAACGCAATCAACAAGTGGAACCGGTTGAGAAGTTGACTTGTCCCGAATTCAAAGAACTCTTCTCGGACAAACAAGCGCACGCCGACGATATGGTGAAGTTCGAGTGTATTGTGAGGGGCAAGCCGACGCCCAAAGTGCATTGGTGCTTCAACGAACAGCCGGTGCATGGGCACAACTTCCTCGTATCCACCAGTGGCAGTAGGCAAGTGCTGACCGTACAAAAGGCCAGCATTGATACTGTGGGCAAAATAAGCTGCATTGCCGAAAATGAGATTGGCAAAGCCACCTGTGCCGCTTATTTGAATTTACTCGGTCCAGGCATGCAGTTGCTGCCTGCCACTAGTGATCTGCAAACCTCTACACAGGAACACAATACCGAATCGTCACGTGTCACCATCAAGAAGCAGACCTTCACTACCACATCCACGTCACAAATTAGCTCATTCGAAGGTAATATGCCGCAAACCGAGATCCATCATTCCTCGGCGCATATCGATCAGTCGCTAAAACAGCTGGGCGCACAACAACCCGAAGTCATTGAGACACATCACTACCAGGAGCTGCACAAAAGCAAAGACATGTCAACGCCAAATGTGCAACAAAAATCATTTACATTGGTGCAATCGGCTGGCAATGGACCGAGTCAGCAGCCAGCTATAACCGGCACAGCTGGTGTGGCGGTGCCTGAATCACCAACGCGCCTACGCAAGCAAATAGCGCCGCGTTTCACCACACCGCTGACGGGTAAGATTGTCGATCAGGGCACAGATGTGGCAATGGAGGCGATCTACGACGGTTTCCCCTCACCCGAAATCAAAGTGGAAAAGAATGGCGAACAACTGTTCGAGAATCAACGTTTGAAGATCGAAAATCGCTGCAATCGCGTCAGCATCGAGCTGAAGCAGGTGGGTGTGGCAGATGCGGGACGCTATGCAGTCACCGCCACAAATACAATGGGACAATCAACGAGCACTGCTGATCTAGTTGTAAAGAGTAAGTACCATTAAACGCCAACAAATATTCAAAAACGTAAAAAACAAAGCAAAATTAGAGCAAATTGAACGAAAGTTAAAAAATTAAAAGAAAAAAAAACTTTATAGAATGGAAAAACACTAATGGGGAAGCAATTAATTAGAATTTGGCAAAAAACATGCAAAATAAAGCAAAAAATGCCGACAAACTCATGTACACTTTTGCTGAAAAGTATGCAGCCTTTTGTTTCTTCTTATTCTTCACTTGTTTCGGAAGTGACATTAAAAATAAAACAATTTGAAAGGTCATTTGGACTAAATCAAATATTATAGACGTCGGCTAATATATTTGGTACGAATTTTAATTGAAATTTTTTTCAAAAATTGTATTCAAATATTAACAGAGAAGATGTTCACTTTTTTAACATTACTTCTAGCCTCTTTATGCAGCTTTAATACACAATACTAAGTAATCTGAGAGTCTCACTATATCCAAATATCTCTTAAACACTAATCGATCTAATTACCTCCATTGAAAATCCCAGGTATACATTATAACATTGTTGATATATATGAGGTGCTTTCAGTTCGCCAAACCTTTTAGATTAGCGAATAGAACAAACCATTCCATAAATACACTGGCATAATACAAGTACAACTCAGAAGATTATTAAGAAGAAGCAGCATTTATATACATTACAAGGTGTTGCTGCCTAAAATGTAGCGACGCTTCGAAGCCGTCTACACATACTGGTATTTAGTTTTTCCTCTATCGAGATATAAGGCAAAGGGTTTTGAGTCTATAATCCTCATAAACATAGACAAAGACATTTTAGTAACACACCCCGCTAAAGAAGAAGAAATTTAACAAAAAAAAAAAAACTTCAATCAAGGGCTACTCCGTAAAAACGGGATCTAAATTACTTAAAGGGTAGAGCTCGACTATGATAGGTATTTTTGAGTAACTGAGTAGACAACTTACATATAGAAGTTTCGACCATAGTTTGGTTGGGCAAACACCGACAACATGATCCCACATTTCAACTGGGAAAGAAGGTTCAAGTTTAATAGAAAAATATGGCTGTCATATAGTTATGTTAGCTACGCGCAAAACTCTAAACATACATGGTATAGAGAGATGGACCGTAAATTCACGATGGCGTTGGTGCGGGAATATATTGTCCAGAGTTAGGTATAAAGCCATTTAAGTTGTGGGAACACTGCAGTATATTTTAAGCTGAGGTCTTTGCTATTGCGAAAGCCCTGGAACTGACCTCTAATGCACCTGCAGACAATTCCAGAATCAACATCTACTTAGATAGTCAAGTCAGTAACCTCGTATCGCATATCGGCCAGAAGAATCTTGAGAAGCAGGGTGGCAGCGGGCAGAGTGTTGCCAGAAGCATGCAACTTCACTTTTCCTGGGTGCCAGGAGACGAGATTGCTAAGAATGGTGTACGGCTAACACCCGAAAACGTAATCAACAATGGGAAACCCTTGTATTATCTATACGACGATCTGGACAGAGCCACGGTAAAGAAAATCAATATCCGATGAAACGAGATAGATGCGTGCAAAACTACAAAAGTTATCTGCAAAAGGGTAGATCGGAAGTACACAAGATTCCTACTGGCACTCGATAGGAGGGACAGTAGGAACATGATCGGAATACTAACTGGTCACTGTCTGATGGCGAAATACTTTCAAAGAATGTGGTTGACAGATCGAGAAAACTGTAGAAAATGTCTAGAACAAGGCACCAGAGAAGCAATGTGCACTTGTCTTTCATTGGCAAGACTACGTTGTAAGCATATGGTGTCCCCACGGTGCTGAGGAGGTATCAATAGTGGGGCTGGTATCTCAAGGGATCAAAACTGGTCTATGCGTGGCTACCAGATTAACATAACCTTGCTGCTAAAGGAAATGAGTTGCAGAATCTTTTGGAGACACTCAAATAGCCATTTCAAAATTTTCAAACGCTGTCTTATACATTCAATTCCAAAAACTACAGCCCTAAATGCGAAAAATCAAATATGTAACCTGGTCAATCACACTAATCAACGGCAAAGTCACATAACCAAGAAAACCCTTAATGAGGAAAGCAGCCGACAACAAGTCATTAAATTGAAATGAGTTATTTCCGAAAAATGCACTGGTACTGAGGTTATCTTAACGACGTTGGGCCTCACGTCGAAACTATTTCGAAAACAGTACCTGGGAAGTTTTCACTCAGACGCCTTATAGCTCAGTCCTTGTCCCTTCTGACTACTATTTGTTCCGACCGTTGAGGAACGTCTTCACTGGCATACTGTTTACCAACAGGTGTATCAAAAATTGTATTGATTTATTCTTAGCCATCAAGCTGGCGCAGTTTATTTCGGATGGAATTCGCAAATAGCCACAAAGACAGAAAAACTATTATAGCTTCAGATGGGTAATGCTAAGCATATGTTTTTTTTTTTAACAAACGATCGCACAAATATAGTTATCGACCCAATATAAGTATCTTGAAAACGCTGATCTCTTTTCAAAATTAGCAAGAATATAGTTAAAAGGTTATGAGAGGAGTTCAATTAGTTTTAGATATCGATTTCCCTCTGCATTGATTTATGAATTTTCAGGCGGTGCAAGAGCTCAAAGATAATCATAATGAATTTTATGACAAAATCGAGACAAAATTTGAGTTCCTGTTATGGGACACTGTGTGTGACTGTGGGGTGGAGAAGAGCAATAAATCTCTTCTACATCGAAAAATAAAAGATCATGGAAAAACTTTAACAAAATTGATGATACATATGTATATCATTATATGATTTTCGATGAAGAACGGATTCTAAATCTAAACTAAATTTTTCATTTTGCGATGTAGAACAGATTTAGTATTAGTACGAATATTTTAGACACACAGTGTACGAATATGTCTAGGAGAGCTTCGAAAGAACTCATCGATAAACATTTTAATAGCACTGCTGGAAATTTGGAGCAGCACTAATGGTTTTTTTCCGCAAGTGAATGTTTGTCGGAAGCCGAATAGTGGGTGGCGGGAAAACGGTTCAGGGCCACACGCAACAAATTTTGCACAATCAGCCGGCTGAGCAAAAGAACATGCAGCGTTAGAACTTCAACCGTTGAGCTGCAAACGAAATCAATGCTCAGCAATAACGACCACACACATGTACGGTCCATTTACATACACATATCATAGTGGCAACATGATGATCATCATCTCCTTCTTCACTTAGTTTTCAAAAAAAAAAAAAAATGTTTATTTTATGAGGCGATTTGCCAAAAATTTCAACATTTTTCCTTCGTCACTCGATGTACGGCTATGATGTTGGCGTTGGAAATAGGCACAGCCAGCACAAACGAATGCATGTATGTATGCATGCGTGTTTGTGTATATGTATATGCATGTGCGTTTATTAAATTTAGAGGAATAGCAAAGCGTAACAAACTTGAAATTCTCTGAATAACAGTCTGCAATGCAGCATTTTCAGCGTTTCATATTGAATTTAATGATTTTTGGCATTTTCATACATAATGTAGGTGAAAAACCAAATATGAAGGAAAAAAAAAATAAAAAATAAAACAAGACATAAAGCAAAAAAATTAGTTGTATCTGAATGGCGGCGGTGCAGCAATTGTTGGCAATGATGTTGGGGTAAACAGCATACAATGTTCTACAGAATCAGTCACCATTGATAATTATTTATTTTCTTTAGTCTTTTTGAGCCGTTTATGTTATGCGCCGGTTGGTTCGCACGTTTACCAAATATTGTATTTAGCAATACACAAGTATTTTATTTGTATTTTAAACGAGAATATTATTTTACGAAAATTTCATAATTTTTCACAAGCAAGCAAGAAAATATAGAAGCTGCCACCTGTTTTTAATTGAAGAAATGCTCAAAATTTAAGAAATACATGTTTTTTTAATGTTTAAATTTGTTGTAGATCAGATTTTTAAGCAAATTAAAACAAATATGATTTTCTAGAGTTGCCACCTAATAAATAATAATAATGTTTGATGAATTAAAAGTAATGAATGAATTAATAATAAAACGAAGTCTTTCATATATACATACAGTATTGGACAAACCTAAAGCACCCCCTAATATTTGTTAGATAAAATAGTACAAAGCTACTGTAAAAGTACGTTATTCGTTAAAGACGTTATCAATAAACCGTTACAAATTTTTGACGTCGTCACTGTTTAGTTGCGATTTAGAGTTTAAGAATCAAAAGTAGCGGAAAATACTAATTCAGCAGACTTTACAAATAACATAATAAGTGATTAGCAAAAATGGTTTATCTCAATATAAAATTGGTTAAAAATATTCGGTGAATGGTGCCCCGATTAATAAATAAATTTCAGCAAACTGGCAATGTACTTTCTCGGCACAGCTGAGGAAGACAGCGAAAAACTATATAATGATACGACTCATTGATCAAAAAGGTTGCCCAAATTTATCCTACAGTCTTTCCCAATCAAAGAAATATAATATTAAAAAATCGAATGGCATTAGATGTTTGAGAAGGCTGAAAAGGCTGAAAAGGCAAGGACTCAAACCTAAGTATCATATTGTGACCATTAAATATGGCGATGGTAATGTTATGGTCTGGAGCTCTTTCTCTGGGCATGGGACTGGACCTGTTCATATAATAAATGGACTAAAGGACTAAAGGACCGTCATTTTAAAAAACGGGATGCTGCCGTATGCTGAATAGGATATGGCACTATAATGGTGGTTCTAGCAGGACAATGATCCTAAGCATAACTCTAGGCATTGCAACACTTGGTTGTGGAGTTACAGAGTTGATGTTTTAGATTTGTAGCATCAGTCGATGTCAAATCTGTCGAGAACTTATGGGTGATCGTTAATTCCAAAATAAATAGGAAAAACTGTAAAACCAAGGATCAACCTTTAAAACCTGAACAAATTGCTTGGAATGGCATACAACATGATATATAGTAAATAATTTAATTTCTTCTATGCCTAAAATATGCGTTTCGGTCACCCAAAATAAAGGATTTGCTACTTTTTTTTAATTTTCAGATATTATTTTTAAACCATAAATGTTTTTGTTGTTTTAACTTATATATGTAATTTTGAAAAAGCTTTGTTTTATTAAAAATTAATAAGCAACCCATTGAAAAACGTCAAAATATTACATTTATTTACTTTTATATTCTGAAACAGCTAAGTTGGAGCCGTACCATAACCATAGTAGGGGCGCTTTAGTTTTGTCCAATACTGTACATATGCATATTCGCGCAATTTCGTAATTTTTATGGACAAAAAAGAATAGAGCTGCCACCTATTTTTAAATAAAACTTTACATGTTATCGAAACATATAAATATATGCTATTATTTAATATTGCTTAAACATACATTTTTTAAATAATTTTATTTTACAGTGTGGCCACCTAATTAAATTTATAAAAATTAATTTAATTGTTAAATTTTGTTATAGGTCAGGCTTTTAAGCAAGATTAAAAAAAAATATTACAGTGTTGCCAACAAATAAAACAAAAATATTTAAAAATTGTATTTATATTTAAATTAAAATTTTATTATATACACGAAATTTCATCATTTTTATTGACCCAAAAATTGAAGTTGCCACCTGGTTTTGAATAAATTCTTACGGCAGTCAAATAAAATGTATAAATCTTATACAATAGATACAGACAGATAGCGTATATTTTTCGATCTCCTCCTTATTTATCTTTAAAAGTTTATACTTATTTAAATTTAAAATTCTGATATTTGAAATTTGTAGTACCAAAGTGGTTTTTTTCTAGTAAAATATCATTAAATCAATAATATTTTTTCCATTTATTTTTAATAGAAACCATTTTCCCGCCTGTCTTTGGGCGGCGCCTGCAGGCGCAAGTCGTTAAACGCGGTGAAAAGATCATAATGGAAGTAGAAGTGACCGGTTTACCGGAACCAACGGTAACTTGGATGAAAGACGATAAACCAATACAAGAAGCGGGCGTGTCGCAGCATCGTCTGTTATCGCAGGGCAACTCCTACAAGCTGATTATTGAGAAAGGTAAGTGGATAGGCTGATTCAGTAGTTATATTGAGGATCAAAGGAAAAAACATCTATTTTTACTAATTTCGTTTGACTTAGGTGTGAAAGAGAGTATATTATAAAAAATCAAATAATATGTTGCCTTCATTTTGGGGTATATTTTACATAATTATCAGAGTAGCTTATTCAGTAGCATTTTTAGTTATAAAGATCGTTGCCTGCATTTAATCAGTTTTGTAAATAATTTATCACAATCACGAACCTTTAATTGTACCCTGCCACGATCTTTGTAAGCCTCAAAAGAACGTCGGAGACCCTATACAATATATGTATATGTAAATGATCATTGTGACGAGCTGATTCAATTTAACGATGTGCGTCTGTCTGTCCCATCGTCTTTACATAGTTTTTTGAGATCTCGATCCGAGACCCTATTATTCAAGTATATGTAAATGATCAGTCTGACGAGCTGATTCCATTTCGCGGTATCCGTCTGCCTTTCCCTCTGTCTGTATATCAATTTTCAAAACATCGATTTGCAATTTTGCATCCGTCATTTTCTCATTAAAAAGCTGCTCATTTGTCGGAACGGCTGATATCGAACACCTCTAGTATATAGCTTTCATACAAACATAACCATAGAAATAAAATGATTTGGAAAAGTTTTGCATTTGATGAGATAGCTTCACTAAATTTAGCATGTGTTACTGTCCAAGGCAACTATGCAAGCTCCGAAGAAATTCTTTAGATGGAATCTATAATCTATAACTGTCATACAAAACATACCGATCAAAGTTCTTGTAAGGAATCTTCGATATTTGTGGGGAGTATTATAGCGCATAATGTTTTTTTTTTTTATAAGGAATATTGCCTACATTTGGGCATCTTCTTAAATAGTTATCAAAGTCACACACCATAGGTTTTGTCACAATTTCGAAAAAATCATTTCAAATAAACAAATTTTGATATTTTCATGAAAAGCATTTAAAATAATTTGACTTTCTAGTCTTATTTTGCAAATAATCTTTCTTAAATATCTATTCTATCTATCTATGCATCTATCTATTGATCTATTCTATTGACATCTCTCCTAGAAGTATTTGAGTTAGTTTAATGACATAATTTTTGCATATAACAATTTAGGACAATCCAGTGACTCTGGCAAATATATGGTGAAGGCTACTAATGCCGGTGGCGAGGCCAAAAGCATTGCCGATTGCGCGATATTGGAACCATCACCAGAACGTCTACAGGAGGTTGTCAAGACTATTGTCTACGAAACGCCAGCTGAACTGAAAACCGAAGTAAGTCTGCATGTACACACTTTCACAAAGTCTAAATAATTAAATGACAAGGAATTCACACATGAATTTCATATTGAATTTATTTCATATTTTTTATATTATTATTTATTACTTTAAATTAATAAAACAGAAAACATGTCACCCTTTGCATTTGTATGCATAGAAATATTGACCAATACATATAATAATTGGATTTATAAATAATATCGATTGATATTTAATATTACATATAATACATAATTAAATTTTAAATTTATTGTAAACTTTTTCTCTCATTGTTTTTTCGCCAACGTTACCAATAAAATTCAATTGTTCGATTTTCGACTCGCATTTTCGCTTAAAAAAATGTCTGTCTATATCCAACTGCTTCTCTCATTGCTTTATGGGGTTTTATGTTGAAATCAAAAATCTAAAAAACAAAAACCATCAACGTACGAAATTCTGCATCAAAACCCATTTCACATGCATCCATTTAACACCAAAACCCAATAAACTGAAAAACTGTGTGTTCAACCACCCGACAATACATGAACTAAAAATATAAAAACATCACTGAATATCCAAATATCCATCGCTGACCAATCACCATCCAACCACCTTTAGACCTTCGCTAAAGAGCCACCGTCCTTTGAAACGACACAAACCGAAATTTCCAACGCATCCGATCTGCATGGCTTATCTGAGTCGAAAATAGTAACTGAGCATCGTTGCACCACCGAGGCAACAATGCGTCTAGAACACAAACAAGCGTACTTAGATCTGCCCGCGTTGAGTGAACGCCCGAAGACGCCAACCGTAGCGACCAACATCGGCACCAACACTGAACTGCCCGATTGGCAGCACCTGAAATCGGCATCGACCAACACCGATAGCACACGCTCTAAAACGGGCTCCACACAAACACCGCCGCAAGTACCACCCAAACCCTATACGACAGCTAACAACATTGCCCCCACCACAACAACCCAGCAATCACAATTCCAATCCACGCTAAGCACAGAAATCGACGGCGGCTACAAAGGTGTAGGGGAAACGCCGCTGCTGACATCAGCCACCACAACGACATCAACTTCCAAGTTCGAGAGCACAACGAGTGAGAAGAAATCCTCATCTTTCGATTTCTTTAAGAAAATTGAGAGTCTAGGTGGCACGCAGCCTGCGCCACCGGGCGAAAGATATCAGAAACAAGAGGTTAATGTGGTCAACAAACGCACAACACCATTGACGATCTCGAGACCGAGCGGTGCCACGGCGCAGTCAGCAACGCTTGAAGACGATCTCAAAAATTTGAATCTTACACCGGGTTCACCACCTGAAATCTGCTTTATACCGAAGTTGGACACCGCAAGCGCCAAACCACAAATGATTAACGATCGTATTAAAATATTAGAAGCATCACAGCAGTCACAAAAAGAGCCACCGACCGGCGGTGTACGCACACTACCGTTATTGCCCGTCTCACAGACATTTAAACATGAGTCCACCATGTCGAAGGAGGTCAAAGTCGATTATGGGCAACCGATCATAAGGCCGGCGGCTACACTGCCAGCACCTCAGCAATTCACACGTTCACCGTCGCCTAAACCATCCGCGGAGGGTGTAGCCATGTCAAAATTGTGGACACCTAGTAATTTGAGCGGTTACGAGAGCACTACAAGTGAGTTGGAGCAAAAGTATAAAGCAGAAGAGGAGAGCGATACGAAAGTGGCGCACCACGAGATTAGGGTACAAAAAGTGCCAACACCAGCGCCCGATTTGAGCGCACCCTATCTGGTGAAAGAGATCAGTAAAGCGATTCATGTACCCACAACGCCGCAGCGTGAGAAAACACCGTTAGATGATATACATTTGGTACCCGGTTCACCACCAGAGATTTGTTTTGCACCCAAACCGGAGGTGCGTCGTCAATCTTTGGTCGAGACAATGGAGAAAACTTTAGAACAAAATCTGCAACAAGGCCCCACAAAGGTGTTACCAATGTCAGTGCCTACACTCACACCAACAACCGCGCTGCAAGCCCCTAAAATAACCTCCACTTATAAGCCACCACCGCCAGTAATACCAACTAAACTGACTGTTGGTCAAACATATGAGAGTGATTACGAAAGCGATCGTTGGAAGTATAGTGGCAGTGAATCGGATGAAGCCTCATTCCGACCAGCTGGCAAGAGTGTACCAGAAGGTTTGGTTGGCACACCAAGTGTGCCCACAACTCATCATACATTCAAGACAAGCGGTTATGCAGCCGATACTGAAGATATTTCCAGTTACCGTAAAATGGAATCGACCCATCAGGAGAGTCGTTCATTTTACGAATCAACTTCCAGTTCGAAATCAACACATCAGCTGCCGCAAGCGCCAATGACATCAGTGTTCAAAACACCACCACAGCAACAACAATACACGCCACAATTCACACCAGCTCCAGCACCAGCCGCAGCCCAAACTTTCTACCAACAGCCTCAATTGGAAAAGCAACCGCCAGCTTCGATTTATTATACCAGCAAGGAAGAGGGCGGTCACGAGAAGCAGGAGTACTCGGACAAGAATGAGTACAGGCGTGAGGAGAAGGTTCGCTAGTTATCGTTGTTGTTATTGATGTTGTTATGTTGCTACCACCAACTTGTTTCTAACGTGAAACTTTTGATTTTTTTAATATTTATGTTAACTTAGTGTATGGTTTATCGCATTAAATTAGTATATTATTTATTTGTACATTTTGGCACTGATAAAATCAACAGAGCAGTGTGAGTTCACTTGTGTATAATTTCATACGTCTTTTAGTGCATAAACAGGCATGGTTATGGATCTCAAAACTAAAAAACCCTGATAATTCAAATATATCTATCTTTTCTCATTAGAAAACATACCATATATTAAGTACCAACCTCTTGGTTTGTGAATTTTCTCAGATCTTTTAGATATCAGAGTGAAAATTAGATTACTGTATGTCAAAGCAGTATAGCCCCTTATATGTATTTTTAAGTGAGTCGGATAGAACTAACGCCCATTTCTACGCATTTATCATTCGACAATATAAGGCCTACATTTAGGCTACTTCTTAAATATTTATCAAAGTCAGACACCAAGAGTTTTGTCCAATTTCCGAAAAACTCATTTCAAATTCAATACTTTTGATATTTTCATGAAATGAATTCAAAATAATTTCACCATAGGGCCAATAGATATAAATTTTTGTATATAACAACTAAGGACAATCCAGTGACTCGGCCAAAGATTATGTGGTGAAGGCTATTAATGGCGGCGGCGAGGTCAAAAGCATGGCCGATTGTGGGATATTGCATATTTCCATATATTTATAATTCGAATATCGCCTCTAAAAATCCATATTTTGTAATTATTAATTAACTTTTATATTGTACGAATACATACAAATATTCTACTAATTAAAATAATTTTAGCGATGGAAAAATCAGCGAAATTTTATATTCATAATTTATAAAAAATTATACTAAGGACCTTTCAAACTCTAATGTGAGTATTGTCTTCCTCAGTGGTGAGATTCTAAAATATTGACAGTCCTTGACCTGATAAAAAAAACTTGAACTGTTCCGGTTAAGTATACCTGACTGTTGTGAGAACGGTGGTGGATTGTCTTAAGCTTTCTGCGCTTTCACCGCATCTAAAAAGTAGTTCCTTAAGCAGGCTCGGCTCCGTGAGATATTAAAACTCATTTCTCACCACAGTTTTTTCTTATAAAAATATAATGTAAAAGGGTAAATTTTTTTACAGTGTAACGTGTTTAGTGGAAATATTTATGAACTTACTTCATCAAGATGGTATAAATGATTATCTTCTATCTTTATTAATTTATGCCGGCATATGTGATATATATCAGTTGCTTGTTCGATACGCTACTCTCCAGAGTTTGAAGAAGAAAGTTACATAAATATGAAGGATGGTTTAGATATTAGGACTTATAGCCACTTACAAATAGATAATGTAATTTGCCATGAGCAATTAATTTTGAAATTTTTTGGATTTCCTAGATCTCGTCGCCTATCTCTAGGAGATGTTCCAAAAAAAAATGGTGTGTGACAGTGAGGAAAATTTCTCTGCATTAAATCATCAAATCCAGAAACCAAAAAGTTGTAAAAGTAACATTGCTATAGATGAATATAGGCAATGAGCGAAGCTCGAGTAAAAAATTGAATTTTTGACCAAATTTCGGTTTGCAAAAATACAGCTGGTATTTTTGTGAAAATATGATTTAAAAATTCATAATTACTAGCAAAAATTCAATATAAAGGACGTGCGAAAATTTCAAGTTCATCGACTCAACGAAAAATTTTCTTCAATGGCTCTCAAAACAACTTTTCGAGTTAGTAGCATAAATTCAAAGTTTTTTACAAATACGTTCACATCCCCAAAACTATATGCCGAAATATTCCAAATATATCTACCAACATATCATCAAAGAAAAAATAAAAAATCGCTTTCTGTTATAATTCCCAATATATAATCATTTTATAACCAAAACTCATATTTTGTTTCAATATGGGTGTATGATAACCAATGTAACCATTTTAAAACCAAAACTCAAATTTTGTGTCAATTTGAGTCGTTTCTTTTGTATTCCTTTCTTCGCTTCAAAGCTTATGAAAAGTGATGTCACGTTATTTTGCATTTCCGGTAACGATATGTACGGCGGCGTAAAACAATTTTTTTAAATTCACATACGCATATAATCCCTAAAGAGGATCCGTTAAAATATGGTATTTTGTTTATAAGTCAGTAATTTTTACTTAGATTCTCCTCACTACTTTACTGGGTTCATTCAGTGCCAAAAAGAAAAAAAATTAGTTGCCAATTGTATGTAGTGCTAGTATTTACGAATTTGTATGTATGTATTAAAGTTGTGCACCGATTTGAATATAACTTTTGAAGCTGATTTTATTTTATTTGTATGGGAATACTGAACTATTTTTAAAATATTTTTAAACTGAACCAAGTTCGAGAATCGAAAAAAGTATGAAAATTACTTCTAAATTTTTTGATTATTTTTCTTATTTTTTATTTAAACTTTTCTTTATTTTTTTCTAAATAATATATCATTTAAAACCCAAATATAATATTCCAAAATCGTCGTAGAAATCAAGTAAATTCAGCTTCAGAATGATTTAGATACGTGTTATATAATAAACGTGTACCTCTTTTTCTTTTTGTTCTTGTAAACCAGTAAATTTGTATATTTTTATTTACATTTAGTTTGTGCATTAACATTGGAAAAGCTATAATTAGCAAAAAATTTATTTTATATTAAAAATTTCATTTTATTTTATATCTAATTTTTTACTTTTGTAAATTATGAATTCTTTTGAATTTTGATTTTAAACTTATTTTTTATTAGAAAAAATTATGTATAAGCTTCGCTGTATTTGCTTTCAGGCATTTAGCGTTCTTTGTTGCCTCGTAATATCCGCAAGCATTATCATCAATTCTACATTTATAGCATCCATTGTAAAAAACAACGCAAAACAAAAAATGCACTAAAACCCATAAATAGCCGCAAATATCATTACTACAATTAAGTAGTCAAGAAAGCGCATCATCAAACACGCATTGCATTAAACAAGTATAATATGATTATGAATAGTTTATGGTTACGCGCAAAAGTATGCTACAGCAAGCAGTTGCACGCCTATAAATAAGCCGCTTTAAGCAATTGGACTCATTTGCGAATTCTTTAATATCATATATTAAGCACTAATAAATATACATATATACATATATAAATATATAAAAAGACTAATCCATTAAATTATAAATACCATTGCATGGTTGGGAATGCCAAGAAGTCATGTCATGCACGTTGTCACATGTTTTTTTTTGAAGTTCATCATCATATAAAAATAGAGATTTCATCACGAACATATTTACTTATGGATGTATATTATTTGTTTTATATATCATATTTTTATGATTTATTATTAGCAAACTTGCTTAAGTAAGCTGCGAGCAGAAAAATATATTTAACTATAAAATCAAATAACCAATATATAGGTTATATGACTGATCAAAGATAACTGGTGGGCTGCAAGTAACCATTAGTTTTCAAAGAAAAATAGTCAAACAGATTTTTGAATATAATAGATATTGTTAATGAGGCCTTTGGATTAGTTAGGATTAAACGAATTTTTCATTGTTGAAGTAAAGATCACTTCTCTGAAGTATCTAAAAGTCATAATGCGAAAATGCACCCACAAGCCTTGAACTCATCAAAAATTCCGACTAAAAGCTTTGAACTTATCATAAATCGCGAATAAATGCGTTAAACTCATCCACAAACATCTGAAGTGCACTCAGCTTGTTCGAATGAAGACTTAGACTGGCAACAGCCGCATAATCACAACTTTGATCAATATGCTAGCGGTAAAATCTGAAAATTAGTTGAAGTAGGAAGGACCAGGTTTCGCCGACGGAACAGTTCTGGAATGATTTTGTATTAATAGTGCCTATGTCGCCCTTCCGAAACCAAAAAAGCTTTTCATGCTTTTATCTTGTTTTAAAACTTTTGCTAAGTCGTTGTGGATGATTGGAAGAGGTTAACGGTCGACAAACTCAGCATTGTGTGGGTACAAAAGTCCATTTTATAGAACACTCAATATTCTTCAAAATCTATGAATCGAGATATTTATTCAAATAGTTCGAAGCGAGATATGAATTCTTTTATATTAGATAATAATGAGCAAGAAAAAACAGATGTGAGGTGAAGGACCTACCCGTTATAATTAAGAGCTCATGCTTGGAGCAATTTCTAAAAGCTGTCTAAGTACCTAATTTTCAGAGTATAAAGAAAAAAAAATATTCCTTTTTTTACCCACCCCACCCAGCGAACATACCATATAAATACAGAATAATTTTCTTTGGACTTTCATGAAATCATTAGGTACCCTTGGTGCTTTCTCAGGGCCAAGAATTCCGCTCAAAAAATTGAGCTTTCAGTTTTGAACATAGCTTTCATGGAGTGGGTGAAAAGTCTCACGAGATTCAATTAATGCGGTTTCAGTATGAGGTTATCAGCAATTTAATTTTGACCTTTTTTCGTCTTCTTGATATAACAGTTGAACAATTTTGTATTAGCACAGCGCAAGTTTTCAATTATAAAGGAAAATATATTATTCATAATTTACTTACATTGCTCTCACACGCTATTTAGTCCTGCAACAATAATAAATTTTATTTTCATTTTGATTGGTGTTTGTTACTTTTCGCCGTTTTAAAAGCTCAGCTTACTATAAAACTTAGCGTATCGCTGATGGCTAACCTTTATTTCTTTCAAATCATTTCACAGGACTATAAGAGCGTATCTAGCATGAGCAGCAGCTACTATAACGCCTCCAATATAAGCAACATTAGCAATATTAGCGCACCTAAATATCAATCAGTGCCTTTGAAGTTACCAACACCGACAGTCACACCCGTACCGGCACAGCGTAAGACACCAGCCGAATTCAGCGACTACAGCAGTGAAGTCGAGGAACGTTTCCGCTCCGTCTCACGCACACAAGAATCGGACAACGAGATCAAGGGCTACCGTGTCGTCTTCCCACCAACGCCAACACCAAAATCACACCTGACTAATGGACATAAATCACCAGCTGTGGTGGTGACACCATCGCCCATGGATTTCGAGCCCACACCGCCAGCGGTGAGCACTTACCCGCGACAGAAGTTCGAGCCCATCAAAAAGGAAGTACGACATGAAATCAAGACCGAATCCAAGGAGCAGAAACAATACTTCCAGCAGCAAAAAACGCAACAGCAACAACAACAGGTATACAAACCGAAACCAGTGGCCGCCAAGTTTATCGCTGCCACACAACAGCAACAACAGCAAAAACAGCAGCAACAGCAACAGCCAAGATATGAGCCACGCCCACAACCGGCGCTTTACTACAACGCCATTGCCGGCACACCGCTGCATATGGCTAAAATGGCGACCGAAACTAAAAATATTATGCACATGAAAGAATCATCCGAAACTTGCCAGCGTGTGGTGAATATGCAGCAGACCAAGCGCGTCATACACTTCGACAGCCAGAAGGAACAACAGGAACGTCAAGTGAGCACACCACTCGAGCCGTTCCCCTACAGCCCATCACCGAGTCGCTACACGCCAACACAACAAATGCGTGTACCACCGCCACCTACACCGACTAAGTTCGTACCGGGCGAATTCCGTGAGAGCGATTATGATAGCGAAATAGAGAATGCGAAGATACGTCCTCTGTGGACGCCACATGGCGAAAATGGTCCGCTGCGCTTTAGGCATGTCGAACCGCCACAAATGGGACGCGCTTGCAGCGTGCCACGCGCCTATGAACGTGTACTCTCACCAATGGAGTTCGATCACGGTCCCGAAATGCCTTCAAAAATAAAAATCGACCCTAACGAATTGCGTTCACAACGCGGTAGTAGCCTCAGCGCGACCAGTCAGCGTACTCAGTCGCTAAATCGTCACTCGTCCATGAAGAGCAGCACTAGCTCCAGCTATCAGCAGCGTTATCAGACCTTACAGCCTGATGCTACGGTTGTCGAGAAACGCTTTCCACGTGACGATATGAACTTGAAAGTCGGTTCTCCACCTAAATACGGTTACATACAGTCGCAAATCGATCAACAAGGCAAGCAGATGAGTTCGACCTTCTTGCAAAAGTCACATCAGTTCATCAGTGACATCACCAGTGATATGCAGCAGAAGAGTAGTAAGACCACGAAAATATATAATGGCAGCGCTGAACCGAAAGTCATTACGCACTCCTTCCGACCGGGTTTCAAGCGTGCCCCCAGCGAGGGTGACAACAAGCCGCAAGCATATCGTGACGAATCGCGCGTCTCGCAATACGGTAAGTACCGAATATGAGAGCTTCTCGTAGTTGTAGAGTTTTGCATATAAGCCCACAATAAAGGGCGTTCTATTGCAAATGTTTATGAGTATATACATCGGTAGGCAAAAGTATTTGGACTTGGCTGCAGAAATTGAGTTCAAAGATACCTTCATAAGGATTCTATTAGTCGAAACTTAGTCTTAAGTGGTAGTGTGAGAATAATGTATCGGAATCTACATTGCTTTCATAACTTTCTCTGTCTTTTTAAGAGTTTTAACTACGGAGTTAATCGCATCTTATATCGCTTCATATAATTACAACTCGGAATTAAGTTAAATTGGAATGACAGAATCATAGAACATCATTCCTCTGATGTATACTGGCTCTATAAAGAAAGTATCTAGCTGAAACTCACTTTGGTCGCAAATTCTCGCCATATAAAACGACTATTTATAGGAAATATCATTCTCGTTAGAAAATCGGGAATATAACGGTTTTCTTACTCAGAGCTTGTATGCGCAAGAGTAAAGACATAGCGATGAAATTCAACACAATAACATAACTACAAGAAAACCGCATGGTGGGTAGAATACCGAGATCATTTCGTATATAACGGTTTTGTCAGCTAACTGTAAAGCTACCGAAGTGAAATTCGAAACTGTCGAATATTTTTTCTGTAATATTACTATATAGAAAAATAGTTGCGATCGGTTAAAAATTACGACCCCTTTTCATATAAAGTTTTTTTCTATTAAGCGGTAGTAACTACAAATATTGAGCTATCAAGTCGCAAAGGTGCTATCGAGTTCTATATAATATAAATATATCAGATATATCAAAACCATTTCATAAAAGTTTCCACTTTTTTATTGCCACAGCAAAGTGATGAATACTTTTGTCTATTGGTGTATGTACTATAGCAAATTGGTATCTGAATTATACAGTTTTTTTACAGTTTTCAAAATTCGAAATTAGCTTGCGAGTTTTACGATTTTCCCCGACTAACACACGCATATATACAATAATTTATATTTACCGATTTTCAAAACTGGAATGTTTCGTTTTGTTCCCTTATTACATATAATATTTATTTTCAAACATATATTTTATATATCATAATATTATTTATATTATATTTATTTATTTACAACAAAAACACACTGTCTCTCTCACTCTGCACCCACAACCAACCAACCAACTGCCCCATCCAAAAATCTACGTGTCTAACTACGTTTATCTCCACACAAAAAAGGTACAAAATGTGTCGATCCCAACACCGGTCTAATTTACTTTAAATATGATTTTGGCTATGAATTCGGTATACTCTTCCCGGGCGAGGGTCACAAATTCGTAAGCAACCAATGGAATAGCTCGTCGTCAGCACTGCCACTGCGTCACGCTTCCGGTACACCCACTCAACAGTTGTTACATAGTGGTCGTAAGTCACCATACCCTTTAAGTGGTGGCGTTGATGAGCTCGTCATACCGGTGCAACATGAACGCACCACTGCAGCCACACCGACACGCGCATTCACCCCAACGCGACTCAGTGTACCGTACGCGCGTCCAGCATCAGCTCAGAGCGGTTATTACTCGGACACCGGCAGCGCGAGTCGTCGTAGTCCAGCGCCGTCGGGTGTTCACAGTGTCAGCGGCGGTGGTGCTGCAAATGGTGTGCATAGACTCAAGAAACATTATAGCCTACCCAACACACAAGTTATCGATATAAATATCGATCGTCTACACGATAATGAGCCACTGAATCGTCTGTCGTATTTAAATACAGGTATTGATTGTACTCGAACGTGAACGCCTCACACTACTAGCTAGCTATCTCATTCGATCATCATACTCTCTCTCTGCTACTCGTATTACAAAGTCACAAAAATGGATGTTGTATTAACCAATTGTTGTTGTAATGTCTTATGCATTCGCGCCGTATAGGCGGTTAATATGGAATGTCGCACTTTCTGGCAATCAGCGATTTGCACAAACCAAGCAATTACACTGATCGCTAAAAGTAATCAAGCGCAGCACTTCTTCTCTCAAGCCAAGCTTGCTCTAAGTGAACTCATACACTTACATCTACTACATTAATATATACAAATTTGTATATACTCGAAAAGATGTTTCATTTCATTACTTCTTTGGCGATAATTCTACTCAAATACACCGTTATCATTGTATTATACTCGCCATCATCATAATATTCATTGCCTATCGCTTCTTTATAATATTTTAACAACAAAAAAGCCGCCCCGTTCTTTCCTCAGCTGGATGATTACTAGTTAAAATACTCACTTCAATGCTAAAAAAAAAAACTATCGTTTTTATACATTTTTTGAGAATCCTCATTGGATTAAAAACGAGTATACTTTTCCGCTATATAATTCCGTAGATTCGTCAGTCAAAGAACTACATACGCTTTATAGTTGCCCATAATCATCGTATGATAATCGGTCGTCGCTAGTTTTAGTTGTAATATGACAATTCCCAGTCCGCCTTGGTAAATCAAATCCTCAAACTCCATTATAGATCCGCTAAGAAGTTTACCCAAATTGATGTTGTAAAAATAGTTGTTGTCTTACCTGAAAAGAAAAGAAACCATAGACATGATTAATATATGGAAAAAGTATTATATTTTGGCAAGTGCGCTCCAAAAGAATATATTTTTTAAAAATTTGTGTGTTCTTTTGCAGCTCGCTTACATTAATTTGTAGTAAGCTGTTGTGTTTGCCTGATTTTCTATACTGAGTTTGTTGAATAGCTTGCGCATGCTTTTATTATTTGCTTTAATTTCGATGTATCGGTAATAGCTTTAAATGATTCTTATCAAAGTTATGGGTAACAAAATAATTATTGCTGTCCCCACTATTTTGTGATTATTTTAGGCTTTTAGTCTCAGAAACATAATGTACATATATCCCGATCAGATATGTGTTTCTAAACTTAAGAAGCTATATACAATTGCAAGTCAGAAAAAAGTCTTGATTTTTTAAGAGACATTTTATTTAGAAAAAATTGTATTTCTTTGTTCCCGTAATCGACTTCCAAGAAGACCTCCCAAAAGGTGATTTTTGCGACGAGAAAGATTTGCGTGTTTAAAAACTTCTTAAATTCAAAAAAGTTGCGAAAAAATATAATAATAATAGATGAATACGAGTGGTTAAAAGTCCAGTCAAAATTTTGATTTGCACCAAAGAGTGGCTTAAAAAATTCCTTCAATCATTACCTGGCAAATATATTTAAAAGGTTTTAATAAATAAAAAACAAAAAAAAAAACAAAAAAAAATAAAAAATAAAAATACTGTGGCCAAAAAACTAGTTTAAATTTTGATTTCTGATCAAATGGCGGCTTCCCAAAGGGTCATATGAAATTTCAATCAGTCCAATCGTTTTGGAGACGTTTTCCTAACTAACTCTAATTGCACTAAGTTAAAGAATCCTTAGAAATGCCACTATATCCCTGACACTATTCTGAAATTTACTGGATAATATGTATAAATATTTAAATAAGTATGCAAAAAAAAAACAGGTCACAGGAGGATGTAAACACCTACCTGTGTGCATTATTTAGTGAAGGTAGTAACAAATACCGAAAAATGGTACACATGAATTCAAGTTTATTTACCTACCTGAATACATTTTTATATAAGTAATAGATGTTTAGCTAAGATCGCCTTTTTTAATTTATTTTTTATTTACTATATGCTCGCTTCAAATTTTAAAATTTCTGAAAGTGAATATACAGAAAAATGGTACAATTGTGCCGTTAGTTTTTATTACATTAGCTGAAAATTTTACAATTAGTGAAACGAATGAATTACCTACTGAATAAAAATTTACCTAAAAACGGTACAAATAAATCTACTTGTTTTTTTAATGTGCTCGCCCAAAATTTAACAATTTGCGAATAAAAATATACCAAAAATCCGGTACAATTTCAAATACTTATTTCTAAATATGCTTGCTTAACATTTGCTGCAAGATCATATGATATTTTTAATAACAAGATTTTTATTTTAATTTTTGCTACGCATTCGCCAAACCGTTGCTCTACGGTACGCTTCCCCGCCTGCATGCAGCTTGCGTTAATGCTTGTATTTTGTACTGTTTATTTTTGATAATTACAGAAAACACAAAAACTTTGTGTTACTGCTCGTGCCTGTTAATCTGTGTTACAATCAGTGAATGCTATATGAATAATATATATTCTAAAGTTCATGTCGTGAGTGCCAAACTATTAACTTGCATTAAAAGAATCCCAAACAAACAAAAAATAAATATAATTTTCAAACAAATATCTCACAAAAAATCACAGCAACAGAACTGCCATCGGATGTACCCGTTAACGCACACCTTAATCGCGACGATTACCCGAAGCGCGCGCCACAATTCATAACGGTAAGTGTAGCCACAGCGAGCTCATTTCAAATTAATTCCATAGCAACAGAAAGTAATAAAAATTCTACGCTTTTTAACTTGCTCGCAGCCACTGAAAGAATACGCCGTTATGTTGGGTCAAATCGCACGCTTCGAGTGCATCGTGCAATCGCATCCTACAGCGAATGTGACATGGAGTCGCAATGGCGTCGCCTTGCAGAACAGCGCTAAGTATGTTATTGAGTACCGTAATGGTGTCTGTCGTCTGACCATACCACAGGCATATCCAGGTAAATATGCACACATACACACTCTTGAAATAAATACATACATATGTATATTAAATCTCCCGCCTCTCCAACCCTCACAACAGATGATGCCGGTGTCTATGCCTGCACCGCCACGAATCCTTTGGGCACAGCCACCACTTCCGGACAGCTGCTCGTGCAAGCCAAGCGTTTATGAATTCGAGCCAAGGCAGTAAATTGAGAAAAATTCGACCAAGTACACACTGGAAAATGTGTGGCAACTATCTTTAAATATAATGCATACGGAATATACTAAAGTTTTGCAGACTTTTCGTTATATTATAAGCAGTTAGTGAAAAAACATGTGTTAATGTATTAATTGTGCTT